ACTTCAGGGTAGAAGGTATTTTATATAACTTATCTGCTACTATTGAGTCCGCTCTGACTCATAGTGACCCGAGAGGACAGAGTAGAACTGCCCCCACATAGTTTCTGAGGCTGTAAATTTTTAGGGGCACAGATTGCCTCATCTTTCTCCCTTGCAGCCACTCAAAACTAAACGCACTGCCATCCAGTCCACTCTGACTCATAGCGACCCCATAGAACAGGGTAGAACTGGCCCTGTGGGTTTCCAAGGACAGAACTCTTTATTAGAGGAAACAGCCTCATCTTTCTTGCTCAGAGCAACTGGTGGTTTGAAACTGCTGACCTTTCAGATTGCAGCCCAACACGAAACCACTATGCAGCCAGGGCTCCTTCAGAGCAACTGCAAGGCTAAAATTACCCCCCCTTTCCACTTAGCAGCCCAACGCTTAGCCCACTGTGGGCTCCTTTTTACTTAACAGTCGTTTCAAGTAAACCATTCACTTGAAAGAAAAAAGCTGTCGATCTGGTTTTTGAATGTCAGTGTTTTTGAATATCACAGGTGTTGGGATTTCATCTTCCTTGGATCCACAATCAACGTTCATGGAAACAGCAGTGGAGAAATCAGAGAATAGATTGCATCGGGCAAGTCTGTTGCAAAAGGACTCTTCAAACTGTTAAAAATCAAAGATTTTGATTTTGAAGATTGTCAGAGAAACCGCCTTAACAATCGAGGGGTCTGTCGGTGCAATTGTACGGCGATAATGTGTCAAGGTTATAGGAAAGTCATAGAAGATAGGAGAGAAAGTAAAATAAAGGAGTCAGACACATTTCATGGTAGCATGCTCACCTCAGCCGCTCTTGTTGGTCCACGTGAAGGTGGGAGAAGAGAGCAGGAATGAGAGAATCTTCACTATCTTGGGGTATTTATAGGTAGCCATGAGACATGAATATTCAGTAGTTACATATGTCACAAGGTGGGTGGTAACTACAGTCACGTCCCTGAGCTCACAGATGATAGCTAATACCTGTATTGGGGGAAGGTATGAGGGGGCTGGATGCCGAGGTGGGAGGAGATAACAAAAGAATGCCAGCTTCTACAGGGAGCTACAAACAACCATGTGCTCACTTTAAGGCAGCATAGCTGTTAAGGGAGAATCTGTGGGAATGATACGTAAAGCAGGATAATACACATGGACTTTATCTCTAACTTACCAAAGTGGTGTCTTTCCTACCATGGAATACTAGCTTTCCAGACTCCCTCTGTTAAACGTTAGGGAATGTAGTCCTGGTCATTTCCCTGTGTTAGTTTCCCACAGAAGACCACGTTGCACCTGACCCAAACCATGGTATTTTCAATCCCCTCATATGCATGGCAACGCTGGACAATACATAAGAAAGACCATGAATAAGCACGATGTGCTTGTATTATGGTATTGCTGAATACTGACTATACCATAGACTGTCAGAAGAACGAACAGGTCTGTCTTGGTAAAAGTATGGTCAGAGTGCTCCTTAGAAGTGAAAGTGGCCAGACTTCATCTCAGGTCCTTTGGGCATGTTAACAGGGGACCAGTCCCCGGCCAAGGGCAGCATGCTTGGTTGGTGAAGAAGAGAAAGAGTCTCAATGAAATGGACTGACGCAGTGACTGCAGCGATGGACTCACACATAGGAATGCCTGAGAGGATGGTGCGAGGCCAGGTAGCTGCACCCAAGGCCGCTGAGTCAGAACTGACTCTTAACCGCATCGATAACATCAGAGAAAGGTAGAGGCACTTGTAAAAATTCAGTACATTTACATTTGAGATTTTTGGGTATTTTATTGTACACTCTATCTATCTCAAAGTTTGAAAAACAAAAACCCTGCAGACTAATCATCAACTCTGGTTTCTGAACTGCATGCTGAAGTGTTCAGGCGAAGGAGCCCCGGTGGCACAGTGGTTAGGGCTTGCCCTGTGATTAGCAGGGTCAGCTGCTTGAACCCACCAGTCTCTCCTCAGGAAAAGAGCTGTCTGCGCCTGTGCACAGTTACAATCTCGGAGAGTCACCGGGCAGTTCTACCCTATCGCCTGACTCTAGTCACTGCAAGTGGGCACTGACTTGATGACAGTTCATTTGGGTACTTATGTTTACAACTTACTTTGAAATACATAAAAAAATAAGACGCCTTCATGGAAACATGAATACGTGGGAAACCGAGTAAAACAGAATGCGGGTAGGGAGTATGTAGATGTTCACGGTAAAATTCTTCCAACTTGGCTGGAAGACTCTTTTTATAATACGGTGTTGGGGGAAATATGGAATTGACTTACAGAAAAGTCCACAAAACTACCCTGAACTGTCAAGTGACTCTTCCCAGGTCTAACACTCCGCATGCACTTTTCATGAAGTTGTCATCACTTTATTTGTTATCAATTTACCATGACTCATTTCTCGCACTTTCAGAGAACTCTGTGTGCAATAGTATTTAATATTTGCATTTAAAAAGCCCATTGCCATCAAGTTAATTCTGACTCTGGGCGGCCCTGTGTAGAATCACAGCAGTCACACTGTGCTATAGAATGTCCTTGGCTGTAATCTTACAAAGGAGGCCTGGTGGCATAGTGGTTCAACGTTGGGCTGCTAGTTAACTGCAAGGCCAGCAGTTCAAAACTACCTGTCATTCCTCAGGACAAAGACAAGCCTTTCTCCTCCTGTCAAAAGCTCTAGTCCCCGAAACCCACAGGGGCAGTTCTACCCTGTCCTGTAGGGTCACTGCGTGAGAATCTACTCGATGGCAGGTTTTTGGGGTTTGGGCAATCTTCCAAAAGCAGTTTGCCTGCTTTCCTCAGAGTTGCTGGAAAGGTCCTAATTGGCAACCCTTATGTTAGCAACCAATCACAAGCTACTGGTGCCATCCAGGTTCCTAACCTATGCATAGCCTATGGGTTAAAGGTGTGCTCAGCACTTGAAGCTTTTATTGTGTACATTCTAAGACTGCCTGGGGCTCCCAGTCTGGTGAGGATGGGTGGGGTTCATTGGTATGGCCCTTTTTCACCGAGAACTAGGAGAGCCTGAAAAAGACTTTTTAAAGGCATGGAAGAACTCACAGGGCGGTGAGAGACTTGGGGCCCCGACTAGGGAGGAGAGAGGCCCTGAAGCCCCAGTCTCCTATTTGAAAATCTCTGTCTTTTCCCCGAGGTGTTTGCTGGTTCCTTCACAAGAAAGCTGATAGGCTGTGGCACATCCATCCTTTCAAACACCGGTCACAACAAACTGTCCGGTCTCACTCACACTCTTCCAGGCCCTTACTGCTACTCCCACGTAGAGAGGAGTCCATTTCCCCTTTGAAAGTGGGTGGGGCGGTCTCCGTGACTGCCTTGACTAAGCGAATGTGGCATGACTGCTGGCGCAGGATTCAAAAGGGGGGGCCGTTTCTCCCTGGCTCGCTCTTGAAATCCGGCCCCCTTGCTGTGAGGTAGCCCAGGTTACGCGGGCGGGAAGGCCGGGCCCAGTGTACGACATGTTCTGGCGGACAGCCCAGCCACAGTCCCAGTGGAGACCGCATCCACTGCCAGAGCTGTGAGTAAGCAGGCCTGCGGAGGGGTTCCGCCCGGCTGTCAAGTCACCCTCACGCTCGTCCGTTGTCCACTGCCGCCCCGGACATTGGTGCAGAGGCGGCCTTCCAGTCCTGTCTCTCGACTCTATAAGTGGTAGTGTTACCATTCGATTTATAGTCCCTGGGAGGATTTTTATAAACTGACATTGACAAATCAGGGGCTGGGGGAGGGGACCAGTCGTCTCTCTCCCAGGTAAGTTTGGTTAGCCCCGGGAGCTCAGTTTCCTCCTTTGTGCTCCTTCCAGACCAAGGGGGTGGGGTGGAAAAGGTACCTCCCTCTGGGTTGGGTGGGGGAGCTCAGGCTTGAAGCCCAAAAGCCAAGGCCTGCAGACTGAAGGCAAGGGCCAAGGTGACCCGAGGGATGGGCCCTCCACTGACAGTAGGTGGGGGGGTGGGGGGGACACTCCAGCCTGGAGCCTTTATTCAGCAGAATGGAAATCTTCCATCCTGCTTTGTCTCGGGCCCAGAGACCATTCAGGAGTTGCTCCCTACTCTGACAAGGAATGCAGTCCCGGTGGCGCAGTGGTTAATCGCTCGACTGCTAACTGCAAAGCCCAAACTAAAAAAATTCACTATGGTCAAGTCAATACCAACTCATAGAGACTCTACAGGGCAGAGCAGAAAAGCCTGTGTGGGTTTCCCAGGCTGTATATCTTTATAGGCGCAAAGAGCCTCCTCTTTCTGCCCTGGGATGGCTGGTGGGTTCGAACTGCTGACTTTTCAAATATCAGCCTAATGCATAACCCACTGCCTCCGCTAGTCATTCCTCAAAAGAGAGAGAGATGGCTGCTGTGTCCTTAGATTACAGCTTTGGGAACTCTATGGGGGCCAGTCCCACTCTGTCCTGTAGGGTTACTGTGAATCAGAATGTCACCACGCGTTGCTCAGTGGGTCCCAAGGACAGGTGTCCAGAGGGTTTCTCCAACTCTACCACGCCACAGCTACATGCCTTTCACTGTCTTCCCAAATCCCCCGACCTTCCACCCAATCCCAGTGCCCACTCTGGCATCCCTCCTGTGTCCCAGAGCAGCCAAGGGGGAGCTCTGGGACCTTAGATGTCCACCCAAGAAGCGCAAGCTTAGCAGCAGGTCTGGGGTTTAAATCAAGCTCTGTCACTAGTCTTCCTCGGCAGAACGGAGCTCCTGGGAGGACGGAAGGAGCTAGGAGTGGCAGTGTTTGGTGTGGTTCTCCAGGAGCCAGGGCTTGTGAAGTGTTGTCCTATCTACTCTCATAAACTTCCTAGGGGCCGTGAGATTGGGAGGTCTCTCTTGGTCACTGGGTGGAGACACACAGGTCTCTTGGAAGTCCAGCTGGAGAAGTCCCTCCATCCCCAACACAATCCAGCCCCTGGAGCTCTGCAGGGGCGTCTGGGCGGCTCTGCCTTGAGTCTGCTTCCCCTTTCGTTGGACGATATGAGACAAGCACGTCAAAACACTTCAACTTTATTTACAATCACCCCCACTGCTGCCTCACTCCAGCTCCTCAGCTTGGCTCTGGGGGAGGAGCTGAAGGAGCAACAACAGTTGGACCAACCCCAGGGTTAGGGGAGGAGCCCCTGCTCGGGGATCCTCTCGCAGGGTAGGCTTCTCACTTCTTGAGGGCCTGTGCCCTCGCCCGTTGGATCTTGTCAGCAGTAGCCCCATCAGTGGCTCCCGTGCAGTGGGACAATACAAGGCTCAGTTCAGCCTCGTTCCGGTGCTCAATGGCCACATCGGCGGCCTGAGCCACATCCCTGTGGTTTGAGCAGGAAGGGAGAGTGTCAAGGCTGCCCACAACCCTGCCGCTCGCTCGCTCGCTCTCCAGCCCGCACAGCCCGTACATACCCCACAAGAAGTAAAGCCTTCACTTTCTGCTCGGGCCCCACGCGGGAAGCATACTTCTTGGCCTCGTATTTGTTGTGCTGTTTCATACAGATGTCCACGAAGGGCTGAGGAGGACAGGGGGTGGGAGCGAGAAAGCACAGCCCTCCTGCAATTGTCTCCCTTATAAGCAAAAGTCCAAGATGTATGCTGCCCGAGTCTGTTTCACATGCCCTTTCTCATGTGTGCTTCCTCACCGCTGCTTTCTCTCCCTCCTTCCCCCTCGCTCACACACGGACACCCCCCTCCCCCACTCCCACCCCCAGACAGTGGGAGTGAGCCTAGCATTCTCTGGGCAGAAGCAACCAATGTCAGAGAGCATCTAGAGCCCGAAAACCACCCTTTCCAAGGCCCTGCGCTACCATCCACCGCTGCCCCCGACACTGGGTGGTTCCTGTCACCTGCCTCTCGGGGCCCTGTGTTTTCTGACCTCACTACCCACCACACCCCTGAATCCCTGCCCCACAAACCAAACCCTACAACAGCCTCCCCTGCCTCACACCCACACTTCTCCCTGGCCCCTGGCCCGGTCTCCCCTGTGACCACCCCACCCCCACCTAAGGAGAGTAGCTCGTGGTCCCTCACCCTGCTGTCTGCAGGCAGATCTGGGCCCCTCCTCCTCCAGTGCAGCTGGCCCACTGGCTGGTGTCTGCCCATGAACGTGAATGCACTAGGGGGGCTCCATGACTGCAGGCCATCCTGCCCATTCCCTGCTTGGTTCCCTCCCGGGTCCACCCTCACAGGAGGTGGCGGAGGGAGCGTCCCTGCCTCACCAGGTATCCAATGGGTGACTTCTTGCTCTTGGAAAACTTCTCTAGCTCCTCCCAGTCCTCCAGAGCAGCCAGGGCTGTCAGCTTTAGCCACCAGAGCCTATGGGGAAGCCAGGCTTTGAGGCGTGGAGGGAGGAGCAGGCAGCCCTGGCATCGGCATGAAGCTGGTGCCCTCACCTACCTCTTGTCAGGGATACGGAAGTCTCGGGCCAGCTGCTCTGCCCGCTTGTTGTGGCCCCCGAGGATGAGGGTGGTGACCGTGTCATGAAGAGACAGGTCCAGGAACTGGCCCCCCAGCTCATCTTCTAAGCGCCGCTGAAGCCGCAGGAGCCGCATCTGGTCCTCGGTGGCCTGGGGACCAGGACGAGGCAGGCGTGGGAATAAGCGCGCTAAGGAGGAAGGACGGCGAGAGGTTTCTAGAACAGGGAGGGCCAAACCTTGGCTGCAAACTCATTCTTAGCCTTGTAGAAGGCGTCGGCTGCTGTCTGCAGAGCTGCCACTCGCCCCTCAATACGCTGCAAGGGAAGAGAGTAGGGGGGTTGGGGGTTGAACCCACAGCCTACAGGGCCTGACTGGTCCTGCCCAGCTACAGCATGATCCTCAATTCCTGGGCCCCCCGGCAGATGCAGCCTTACCCACTGGGTGCACCGCTGGGGGCCCCTGGTGGGATGGCTAGCTCCTCAGGACCAAGCCCCACCCTGGCCTCTTAACCTCTCCAGGTCTCCTCAGCAGTGAAGATCAGAGGGGGTGTGCACCTGAGACAGAGGCCTAGGCTCCTAGGGAAGGAACCAGGCCCACTGCCCCAGCCTTCAGCCCCCTCCCGTGCCACCATGGACCCCAGACCTCCTCCGCGGCGTAGCTGGCTCGGACGTGGAAGCTGCCTAGCTCCTGGTGGTTGTCATCCTGATTGTAAAGGTCCTTCAGCGTCTCCAGCTCTTGGTGCTTACAAAACTGGGGCCATAAGCAGGCAATGGGTCAGGGAGGCCGGCTCAAGGACTCAGGAGGCCCGGGCCGCCCCACCCACCATACCCACCTGTCGGTACAAACTCAGGGCCATGGGCTGGTTGCGGAGGGTCATGAAGAAATCGCCTCGGTTCAGTTCGTTCTTCAGGTGCAGCAACACCGTGAACACTACACGACAGCAGGGTGAGTGGGCATTCCAGCCGGCCCCTCGCTCAGCCCACAGGCCTGGCCTTGCCCTCATCCTAAGCCTGCTCACCCAGGTCCGTATCCCCGCTCTCGATGGCCTTGCTCAGGGCTAGTTTGCTTCTTTTCATCTTTAGGAGAAGGGGCACCTGCTCCCCTGAGCGCGGCTCGTACTCCAGCAGCTATGGGTTGGGGAGGAGAGGAAGGCACAGAGAGGAGCTTCCGCAGGGGGGCTTCTAACCCCACCACCCACCAGAGGGTCTGGGGAGGGCTGGGCACCCACACCTTAATAGCCAGCTCCGTGCGGCCGCAGCCATAAGCCCGTGCGGCAATGTCCGAGTAGGAGACACCAGGTGTGTCCCCAAGTTTCTGGTTAATGGCCCGAGCAACATCCTCGTCAGACACATCCTTTTGTTGCACCTGCAGAGGGAGAGGGGGTTAGTCTGGCAGACACACTCGTACCTCACATCCGCCCACTGCCATCCCCAGAGGCCCTGGATTCAGCCGTCTTTGGCGCTGCACTTCCTGTTGCTTGTTCCTCACCGAAAACCAAGCCCACTGCTATCAAGTCTACACAGGCTCATAGAGACCCTGCAGGACAAAGAAGAACTGCTTCTTGGGGTTTGCAAGACTAAACCTTTACGAGAGTAGACAGCCTCATCTTTCTCCCATGGAATAGCTGGTGGATTTGAACTACCAACCTTGTACTTAACAGCCCAGCCCAACACCTAACCCACCGTGCCACCAGGCTTTCTTACCAGGGACCTGGGAACCCTCACCTTGTAGCAAGCCCAGTGGGCCAGGATTCTGCTGACGCCCTGTACCTCAGGAAGACGCAGGTACTCGCATATCTGGATGGCTAGGGGATAGAGTCTCCGCAACACGAGCCTGGGAGGTGAGGGAACAAGAGTATGAGGAATAAGGCTGGGTGGGGTGAGGGAAGGCCAAGCCCACAGAAATGGGTCAGGGGCAGTGACCACCAGACACTCCTCCCCAAGGGCCACAATGCCCACCCCCTTCCAGCCCTCCTCATAGCCCCTGGGGTCTGCTGTACCTGTCCAGCAGCACCTGGATAGTGAGCTGCTTATACCTGTATTTTACTCGGTTAAGGATCCGGCCTGGGGAGAAGCCCTGGTTCCTGTGGACCTGCGGGTGCCCTCCAGCCCTTAGCCCTTCTCCAACCTCCCCCAGCTGTAGACAAATGAGGATACTGGCTATAGGTGAGGGGAATGCCAATGTGGTAGTCCCGAACAGCATTGAGCACGCGCAGATCCTGACACATGCGCACGAAGCTGTCAGGTGGAAACCGGTCAAGGAAACACTTTCCAAAGGAGGCCGCCTGTAAAGGGTCAGAGGGAAATAGAGACACTTCCCTCCCACCAGCGCCCCCAACCCAGCCTCCCCCAGCGCCCCCAAGTCACCCTGAGCAGGCTCTTCTGCATGTCTGGCCGGTGCTCGTGCCCCGCGGCCTCGATGCACTGCTGCACGGCCTGGGTCAGCTGCCCCAGCTCCTGGATCTCCCGCAAGTACTCGTCTGCCTTCTGGCTCTCCTTCTAGGGAGCAAAGGGTGCCGGGGTTGGGGTATGATGACAGAGAGCACCCCCACATCTGGCCCTGTGGTCCCATGGACTGGCTGGAAAGACTACCCAGGCTGGAGCCCCCACCTCTCAGCTGACTCCATTCCCCTAAGGGCCTTTACCTCATATTCCTTCTGGCCCTCCAACAGCAGTGCCCCGGGGGCCATCGAGGCAATCTTGAAGATCTCCTCGCTGGCCACTGAGGGTGGAAGTCGGGGGTGGGGGTGAGGGAGGTGGTGTCAGCCTTATCTCAACAGCCTACTCCTGCTCCAGGGTCCTTGCCCAGGGCAGCTATGATGCAGAGGACCCCCCACTTCCCCCAACTCCGGGGGGGCCCTTGTGAGGGCCTCACCTGGGACCTCGTGCAGGAACTCGTGGGTGCTCCGTGAGAAGATGCGGACACCATCGAGCTCAGGCACCAGGTAGGAGTCCTCGTCCAGCACAAACCTGAGCCTGGTCAAGGCTCACCGTGCTTCCCAGAGAGCGGTGGGGTGGGGTAGCACCAGCCCCCTGGCCTTCCCACCCCACATAGGCAGCCCATCAAGGATACTGGATGCTCTCGGGCGCATCACCCACCACCATCAGCCGCTTCTCCCAGGCCACCACGACAGCCCTCTCCTTGCTGCGAGGACGGCTACACCTGTGGGGCACTCCCCCGCCCCCACCTCATCAGGGACCCCACATGGGAGGCCCACCCCCACCCCTCACCCCACTCCCACATCACTGCTCACACTCCCTTGGCCGGGACAAGGGCTGACTGACCCACCAGCTCCCCAGGGTGTCTAGGGCTGATGGGAGCAAAGGTGTCCTTTATGGGTGGGCTGGCAGGAAGGATAGGCGCCAAGCCTCCGGGGATGGTCAGGGTGTAGGATGACTCCAGGGGAGCAGGGAACAAGGCTGTGTCCGAGCCCCCAGCAAAACAGCCCCCTTCCTCACCAGACCATCTGCTTCGGAGGGGCCCGGATATTGCAGTTGAATTCACACAGCTTCTCCTAGAAAGACAAGGGGGAAATGTCACAGCCCTGTCGCCGCTGTCACCTTTCAGTCTGGCTGAAAGCCCCTTCTCCCTGCCCCCCAGAGGTCCTCTCTGCCAGTGGCACCCCTGGGCCATCCCCAGAGCGCACCTTGAGCGACGCCGTCCCCATCCAGATGTGGCCCGTGTCTGTGAAGAGTGCCAAGTGCCGGTAGGTGAAGGAGACTGCCATCTGCAGAAAGCTGCTGACTCCTGGGGTGAGGCCTGGGGGCGTCTGGGGCAGGGCCAGGAGTGTATCAGTTACCCTGACTTCTCAGAGTGCCCCCCACTCCCCACGCGGACCCCTGTGGCCTCCTTCCCTCCCTGCTCAGCACCCTCACCACAGCGGAGCAGGCGGCCTGGTCCACTAGGTAAAGATCAGGCCCCACGGCCAGAAGGATGTGTGCTGCCCGGTCCTGGCACAGCGCAGTCCAGCACGAGGGGGCGCTCTGCAGGCCTGCAGCCGGGACAGGGCAAGTTCAGGATGGCTGGGGCCATCTGCAGGGATGGACTGCTGCCCCGGGGATGGTTCAGGCTCACCTGGCACCTCCGGCAACCGGCGGAGCTTTAGGTCACCCACGTTGGCACTGAGGGTGAAACGGTGGGCCCCTGTGAGGATGGCCACTCCAGAACCAAACTCCGTGTGGAAGATCCGGGCATCCAGAACCCGGTTCTGGAGTACTTCCTGGGGAGAAAAAGCGTGAGTTGTGGGAGCCACAGGGTTGCACCACCCCACCCCTGCTCCATCCCTTCCTCAGCACCCAGCTCCCTACATTGCCCATGCTGAAGTGTCTCCGGAAGTCACCGTGGAGCCCAAAAACCAGCACTGCCCCATCCTCCTGCACACACAGCAGCTCCTCCTCAGCTGACCAGCCCAACGACACCACGGGCCCGCTCTTCCACTGCAGGGAGGGAGGACATTGGGCTCTTAGGGGACCATGGGAATCGGCATCCAGCCCCAGCCCCAACCCCAGTGGGGGTGCTCACCAGCAGACTGGCCAAGGACACACCGGCCGCCGAGTAGATCTCGAGCACTGGCCGCACGCTGGCAGCCTTCTCCTTTCGCCATGGATGCCTCAGCAGGGCTGTGGGTTGAGGGGAGGCTGTCTGACTCAGTCCCCCAGGCCCACCCCATGGAAAGCAGGCCTCCTTTTGGGGGAAAAATTAAAGGATCCCAGCAGGGCGGGATGGGTGTGACGCATGCCTGATGGTCAGGTCCCAAGGATGAAAGGCCCTGGGGTTCGTCCCATGGTCCCGGAGCATGTGGCTGTGGCGGCAGAGGACCAACATACCAATTGGGCCTCCGTAGGGCGCAGCAGCCACCAGGCAGTCCCGGAGTTCCTCCTTCAGGTCCCAGTCCATGCTGTACAGCTCATATTTCCTGCCCACACAGAGGCAAGCAGACATCAGCCTCTCCCACAGAGGGAGACCCAGAAGTCCTGAAAGCCTCCATCGGAGCTCTGGAGGGCAGGTGGGAGGCCCCTCCCAGGCAAAGGCAGGAGGTGGGACAGGGGGCGGGTGATGAATAGACACAGCCGGGCCAACCACCTGTTCACATGCAGCTGAATGGGGAGGGGGCATGGGTGAAGGGAGATGTGGGCCCTGTGGCTGAGACCCATGATGACAGTAGCTCCCAGGACAGGTAGGGTGCAGGCCAGGACACACACACTGCGGCAGGACAGGGGTGGGGTGGCTAGCTCAGGCCTACATTAGTGGGACACAGGAACTGAGAGAGGGATCCTGAGAACAGGAGGCAAACGTGGCTCAGAACTCAAATTCTTCAAAAGCCCAGACTTGCTGGCTGGGTTTGAGGCTGCAGGACGCACCAAGACAACTGCCCTGTGGACTCTTCCCTCATAGCAAACGCACAGGGAGGCTCAGAAAGTGGAGAGAGCCAGCCGGGAGTACAGTGCTCCTTTACCAAGCCATTTATGTGAGACCGAATGGTCAACAATTACCCCACAGCAAAGACAGGGGCAGGGAGACTAGGATGCTGGCAGTGGATGAACAGGAATGGGATTCAGGAGAATGTGGACACACTGTGCAAACCGTAAGGGACGTCACTGAATCCTCTTGTGGACGATTTTAAATGGGCACCTAATTTGCTGTATAAACGTTCACTGAAAACACAACAAAGTATTTCAAAAAGAGGCAGCGAGTGTCCCTCTCAGACCAGGGAGCCTGCCTTCTATTTTGGGCTTTGAACAGCGAGCCAGGCTGAGGGTATTGTGCCTGGGATCCCACTCAGCGGTTACTAACCTTCCCTTCCTCGGTCTCAGGGGACCTAAAGGCCACAGAGGGGCCTCCCTCAAAGCCCCAATCTGGCTTGTGGACTCCAGAGAGGACTTAGTTAATCCGAGAGTGTTAAATGGCTGACCTCGAAGACCTTGCTCAAGTTAAAGCCTAGCTTATTCAAAGATGGCCCAAGTCATCCTTGCCTATGTGGTGCTCTCAGACTCTCCGGAGCATGGATTGGGGACTGGGGGCTTCACTCAGTCTCATGTAGGGACCTCACAGTTGTGATGCAGTTCCTGATTGAAAGGAGCACAGCCAATTGTACCCATGAAAAAACTGGAGAGTGTGCTCGGGGTGAGTCAAAGACTGAAGGAGTTGAGAAAAGAGATCTTGTCTACACCACGTAATGACAGGCTCACAGCTCGTGCCAGCCCAGCACTGCGGGCGGGAACATATCACACATTACACCACTGCCCTCTGAAGCCCTTTTCCCTGGTGGGGATAGGAACACTGGACACAGCACTTCCTACAAGCACAGAGAGGGTGCTTTGAGAAAGGAGAGCTGCTGCAGGAGCATGGGACTGAGCATCACCTGGGCACAGGTGATGGGGCCTCTCAGTGGGCACAGCACTTAAGCTGAGCCCTCAAGGCCGGCTGGGAAGGAACGAGTGAGGCAGAAGACAAGGAAGGGAGGGGAGCCAAGTGAAGAAATAACACGAAGCAGGCAATTATCTAAGGAAGAGGAAGAATTGAAGGCGGCTATAGCCATGGCCTGTGTGGAGAACCGCCAGCAGCCGGCGCCTGTGGGTCCCTGTACTGTGGAAAGCATGGCAGCGTCACCACGTGGCCAGCATGGGCACAGACGCAAGAAGAGTGAACCTAGAGACTGGGAAGGCACAGCGAGGCTGGGCAGCAGAGACCACAGGCCGTGCATCTGGCTGAGCTGGGTGGTCAGGGCTGGCACTTGGGGATGGAGAAAGTACAGAAAGCTGAGTCTCAAGGCAGATTTGACAGCATTTTCTCATCAACTGGAAGTAGGGAGCAAATAAGGGATGGTGGTGCCCTTCCTGAGCAGGGAAGCTGGAAGAAGAGTAAATGTGCTGGAGGAAAGGATAAGGACCGCAGTGCCAGGGAGGAGTCCAAGAGTCGGGAGCGAAGGAGAGCGCCTACGTTGGAAATGTCAACCCATGGGTGCTTAGCACTCGAGGCAACGGAAACCAGCAGCAGGCTCCAGCAGGCAGTGATCGCAGCCCAGGGAGAAGTCCTGGGGGTGCTTGCTACATGAGAAGGAAGACTGAGGGGAAGGGGGAGTCTGAGGCAAGCAGAACCCCATCACCTGCCTGTTGGAGATGAAGAAATGGGGAAAGCCAGGAGATGGAGGAGGAGTGGGGTGGGGGTGGGGGGTGTGAATCCCGGGATGCCACGAGAGGGCAGTGTGTGCTATCAGTATCATTCCTGGAGCTTTCTTAAAGAGGGGGAGGATGTTACCTACTACTGGACATTCTTCTTGGGGCTCCAGACAAACTAATTAAAAGGAAAAATGAGCAGCTTATATTTTAGACAGTGGATAAGATTGTTACTGCTTACAGAAAATGTACTGTTGACTTAGAAAGCCCAAACCTTAGAAGATCAACTTTTCTGACCAATCCATGGGAAAAAAATAAATCGGGGGGCTCAGCAGGGTGATCAACACATATCAATATACTTTCTGTGCTCTAGCCTGAATCAATTAGAAATATACCCTATATACTCGAGTATAAGCCGACCCAAATATCAGCCGAGGCACCTAATTTTACCACAAAAACTGCATAAAAAAATGTGCTGAACATGGGAGCAAATGAAGGGGGAGGAAGAGAGAGTGGAGCACATCCTGGCCCACCAAACCTTCAGGACGATATTCCCACTCAGAGCAGCTAATGCACAGAGAGGACCATAGAGCTAGCCCCACTATGAGAGACAACATCCCTCACTGAGGGACAACACTGGAGACACAGTGCGGGAAGTGTGCCCGATCTGACCCCACCCACTAAGGCAGAACACTAAGGGGAGCAGAGCAAGGAAGTCCCGAGGGAATACCAAAAATAGACTTTGGGGGCTGGGGTGTGGCACCCTATCAAACTCAACCAGAAAACACTCCCAAAGGTCAACCAACAGACCTTGAACTATTTAAGGTCTTTCTTTCTTCCTCCCTCCCTCCCTCCCTCTCTTTCTTTCTTTCTTTTTTGTCATTGGTTTTTTTTCTCCCAAGGAGTGGGTGGTTTCATCTTTTGGCTCACAGCCCAAAGCTTACGTAACCACTACACCACCAGGGCTCCTTTGTCGTTGTTTTTTTGGTTGTTGTCGTTGTTTTGTTTTCTTTTGTCGCTTTGTTTTGCTCTGTCCTGTTTTTGGTGCATATTATTATATCTACAGGTCTATCTAGATTAGATAGGCTGGATAAACAATCTGGAGGAGAAAACAACAGGAAGAATGATTCCGGGGGGACATGGGAGATGGGGAGGTGGAGGAAAGGAAGTGGTGTTAACCAACCCAGGGACAAGGGAACAACAAAGGATCCAAAATCGATGGTGAGGAGGGTGTAAGAGGCTTCGCAGGGCTTGATCAAGGGCAATGTAATGAGAGGAATTACTGAAACTCAAATGAAAGTTGAGAATAGTGGGACAAGAGGAAAGTAAAAGTAAATAGAGGAAAGAGCTAGGAGGCAAAGGGCATTTATAGAGACCTAAATACAGGCAAATAGATATGTAAATACATTTATATATGATGATAGGGAAATAGATCTATGTGCATATATTTATAGGTTTAGTATCAAAGTAGCAGATGGACATTGAGCCTCCACTCAAGCACTCCCTCAATGCAAGAACACTTTGTTCTATTAAACTGGCATTCTACGATGTTCACCTTCCTGACACGATCACTGAAGACAAACGGGTGCATAAGCAAATGTGGTGAAGAAAGTTGATGGTGCCCAGCTATCAAAAGATATAGCATCTGGGGTCTTAAAGGCTTGAAGAAAAACAAGCGGCCATCTAGCTCAGAAGCAATCAAGCCCACAAGGAAGACACACACCAGCCTGTGCAGTCACGAGGTGTCGATGGGATCAGTAATCAGGCATCAAAGAACAAAATATCATATCAGTGTGAGTGAGGGGGAGTGCAGAGTGAGGACCCAAAGCCCATCTGTAGGCAACTGGACATCCTCTTACTGAAGGGTCGTGGTGGAGGAGATCAGAGAGTCAGGGTATAGTGTAGGAACGATGAAACATACACCTTTCCCCTAGTTATTAAATGCTTCCTCCTGCCCACTATCATGATCCCAATTCTGCCTTACAAATCCGGCTAGACCAGAGGATGTACACTGGTACAGATAGGAACTGGAAACACAAGGAATCCAGGACAGACGAACCCCTCAGGACCAGTGATGAGTGGCGATATTGGGTGGGTGAAGGAAAGGTGGGGTAGAAAGGGGGAACTGATTATAAGGATCTACATATAAGCTCCTCCCTGGGGGATGGACAACAGAAAAGTGGGTGAAAGGAGATGTTGGACAGTGTAATACATGCCAAAATACTAATAATTTATAAATTATCAAGGGTTCATGAGGGAGGAGCAGAGAGGGAGGGGGGAAACGAGAAGCTGATACCAAGGGCTCAAGTAGAAAGCAAGTGTTTTGAGAATAATGATGGCAGCAAATGTATAAATGTGCTTGACACAATGGATGGATGGATGGATTGTGATAAGAATTGCATGAACCCCCAATAAAATGAATTTTTTTTAATGTGCTAAAAAACTCAGCTTATACACACGTATATTTGGTAACTTCTGAATGGACCTTAATCACCATCACAAAATAAGAAATCCTAGACCTATGTACTACATTTGTAAAAGCAAATTAGTGTTTACTCAGAATACAGAAGACATGGTAAAATATTCCAAAATGATCTTATATATATATATATATATATATTTTAAATATATATATTTTTATTGGTAGCTCTTACAGATTTTGTAACAATCTATAATTCAATTAGATCAAGCATAACTATACAATTGCTGCCACCATCATTTTCAAAACATTTTCTTTCTTCTTGAACTCTTTGATATCAGCTCTCCTTTATCATCTCCTTCTCCCACCTTACCAGCCAGG